CCACACACCTATGTATCTTCACGGGAAGTTCTATCCAATAAGAGAAGCCTGATCCACTAATGTTCATAATGAGGCTTTTGACGCGTGGATGCGGGATACATATAATGGGCGGTCGGAGCGCCGCCAGGCGGCGAAAGCGCTTCAATACGTGCCCTGGCCTTATTACGGCGCCGTTTGGGATTCTGAGCATGGTAACGTCTCTGTGGGAGCGTAGCCATGCACAAAGACGACAAAAGGGATTGGTTTGGTCCACTAAGCCTGACTCGTGCCTTTAACGGAAGTGAAGGCGTTGACACGCACGTGTGAACAACGGGAGCAGTCGAAGAGGTCATAACAAGGACCCTTGCGCCCTTGCTGCGGCTTTTGAGCCGAGACAGGACACTTGCGGCATTAGTGGGCAGATCTATCCCCCCCCGAAAGAGATCGATCCGCCTAGACTCATCGCGTGCTGTTGCTTTAGACTACGACCCGTGAATAATAACTATCCATTGGCCATGATTGAGGGATAATTCAACATCATATTGTACCAGTTGGCGCCGCACGCATTGCGCGCGCAACACAGATCTGCGGCGAATTTTGATGGTGCGACGAAAATTTTCAAATTTGGCTTGATACAATACGAATATCTGAATTCTCCGCTAAATTCTATCCGCTCTTTCTTCGTCAACCATTATCCTCTTTTTCTCGGTCTCCGGACTGCTTCCGGACAATAAATCTCGTGGCGAACTCCGTCTACTTCGGTGCGTGCCCTGCCCACCAATAGCATTTGGCCCCCTTCCTTTCGCCGACCTCTACCCCCTTTTTCACCGGTCTCTGGGACCTCTTGGAACCAAATTAAATTAGGTGCGTGCTCTACCCACAATAGCAGTTGAGCTCTTTTCCCTCACCAACCTCTAACCCCGTTTTCCCCTATCTCTAGGACCTCTTGCAACCGAATTGCGACACTTTTGGCAAACTCCGCCCACTTAGGTGCGTGCTCTACCCACTAATAGCATTTGACCTCCTTTCCTTCGCCGACCTCTACTCCCTTTTTCCCAGCCTCCTGGACTTCTTGGGGCCGAGTTATGAATTTTCGTCGCAAACTCCGCCCACTTTGGTCATGTCCCGCCCACCATTGACAGCTGGCCTCCACTCCTCCACCCACCTCCATCCACCTTTTTCCGCGGCCTCCGGGACTTCTTGGAGCCAAGTTATGAATTTTCGTCGCAAACTCCGCCCACTTTGGTCAAGCCCCGCCCACCGATGACAGCTGGCCTCCACTCCTCCACCCACCTCTATCCACCTTTTCCCCAGCCTCCGGGAGCTTCATGGAGCCGAGTTATAAATTTTCGTCGCAAACTCCGCCCACTTTGGTCAAGCCCCGCCCACCAATGACAGCTGGCCTCCACTCCTCCACCCACCCACCTCTATCCACCTTTTCCCCAGCCTCGGGACTCTTTGGAGCCGAGTTATGAATTTTCGTCGCAAACTCCGCCCACTTTGGTCAAGCCCCGCCCACCGATGACAGCTGGCCTCCACTCCTCCATACACCTCTATCCACCTTTTTCCGGCTCTTTAAGACTTCCCCGACCGAATTATGAGGGCTTGTAGAAAATGCTGTACACTTCAGAGCGCGCCCCGCCCATTCTGGGCGGGCCTCCGCCCACGTCATGTATGCAGGAAACACCTTAGACATTGCTCCCTTACACCAAATTGTTTTCTGCTCTGTAGGCTTTCTCCCAACCGAGTTATGAAATTTTTCATAAAGCACTGCTTTTTTAGAGAACGCCCCGCCCACCGGGGGTGGGTCTCCCTAATTCGATGTGACTTACCAATGCACACCTTTACCCACTTTTTGGCCCAGTTTCGAGGTCGTTTTGTCACTGAAATCGAAATCTTGGTCTTCGGTACAATTCATTTCGACGCACGCCACGCCCTCTGTGGGCGGGCTCCGCTTAGCTGATGTGTGTTTTGTATTACGTGAGACCTTGCCCACCCATCCCACACTTGACCCGGTCCCTCCAGGCGGATCCCGAGGAGCTAGGGAATTTCGTGACAGACAGACAGACAGACAGACAGACAGACAGACAGACAGACAGACAGACAGACAGACAGACAGACAGACAGACAGACAGACAGACAGACAGACAGACAGACAGACAGACAGACAGACAGACAGACAGACAGACAGACAGACAGACAGACAGACAGACAGACAGACAGACAGACAGACAGACAGACAGAAGACAGACGAAGCGCTTTATAGTAGGGTAGGCATAGGCCTTTTTGTTTTCAGGACTATGAACTACTTGTTGGTGACTTGCCATGGAAGTATATCGTAAAAGGCGAAGACGTTAAACAAGCTAAACTGGAATTGGTGAGTTTCAAATGTACGAGAGTCCCCCCTACCCGTCGGTGCTCAATTCTTGATTCAATAACCTTATTTTCAGCAAGGTGCTCCTCAAACCTCTTTCCTTTCTTTGACATGTGAATCATTTCAAGAATTTGCTCGAGCAGTCTTCAGTTTGAACACCGAAGAAGAGCCAAACTACGCAGCATTGCAAGCTTTGCTTACGGTACAAAAAAAAACGTATTTCTTTTTTAAGAATTCGAATTAAACTCATGCGTTCCAGGAAATGGTTGGCGATCGGAAGATGAGCGATCCTTATGACTGGGAGATGAACTATCGCGAGGCCATCGAAGGTGTGCGGTAAGAGCGAGTGACTCTTATCATACATGATTTCATTTGCAAGCATATCAAGTCACCGCTGAGGGATTACCAATACATCTCCTCATGGCTTCACTAGAGCCCCGCTTCCTACGCAGGGCTGATGCCCCACTGACAAGCGTCTTCCACGCGCGGCGGGTGGCGGCGGCGGGGGCGCGGGCGGCCATGGAACGCTTTTCAAAACGATTTCTTGCATCTCGTGGGGGCACGCGTCTGAAGCATGAATCTGAAAATCATCTTCTGAGGCTCTGGGAATGCCAAAAATAAGTGGGTACAATGGCATGTGGTTCGATCCCCACTGAATACAAATTTCTTGCATTTCTCAGATTTCCACTTTGTTGTGCTCATATGTGCCTAAACTCAATCACAAACAAAGACCTATCACAATTATTCGACGCTACAAGTGCTGCTCAGTATATCAAAAATGTAAAAGTTCCACTTCCCAGGAGATGTTTCTGCCCTTTCTCCAGCAATATCAGGACACTCAGAAAAAAATTATCATCAGTTTTATTCCCCACACACGTACCCCTGCAACACGCAAAAAAGCCTTCCGAAAAAGCGCTCAGTCCTCAACGACTCTCCTCGTACCATCATCTACCGTCCCTTAATCCGGAAGAAGATCCTCTAGCGGTCTCTAGAAAGGTACACAGATCACCTTCGCGCGTTGAAAGTTCAATGGACATCATGTTTTGTTGTTTTCTTGAACGTTTTCAGTAAGCCCTTCACTACGGTCACCGTCGAAAATCGCATGGCGTCGAAATCCTGTTAGTTTTCAGATCGTTGGCGTAGAGCTCCCCTAATATTCAAGCCTTGACTGACTTCAGGTTTTAGGGATCCCTTTTGTACTTCCTTGTATCAAAACTCTTCGAACATTGTTCTTCTACAAAACGCTGGACAATATACTGACTGCGTGCTTATCCTGCGTGTGCCAGATCCAGTTTACTGAATGGTATACAAAGAAAACCACCCTCCAGCTCATTGAGGCGAAATTTGCGATTTTTTGAACTTTTTCTAGGTTTCCTGAAATGATTCCCACTTCGTCCTTGAACATTTCTGTAGAACTCGGAACACGATAAAATTTGCGTGCAATTCTTGCCAGCTGAGCTCAGAAACTATTGCGTTTGGAAAGTGGCCACCTAGAGTTCCCCGTTCAAATCTACTGGTTTACGCTGTACGAAGAGTGGGAAGACGAGCACCTGCTGCTGACATCATGGAGACGTTAATGGATTCAAGAAACCGCTTCATAATGCCTGGAACGCACTCGAGGCCGTCTATCAACACGCCGCGGTCAGCTCATTCACCGAAGACTTCGCTCCATTTTAAAGCGGATAGTGGGTACCAGGAAGGGTTATGTGGTTTTTCGTTTATTAACCATCAGTGAACATATTTTTGTTTTCCACTTATCTTCTTTCAGTTGTACAGATTTTCAGTGACCACTCTATCTTGTTACCGTAACTTGTGGTCACCCTCTATAATGTAGTGAGAGACGGACGTGTTCCCTGAAAAGTGTTGTAACTTTTTTGACTGGTTTTTATCGTGCTCGTGTCAGAGTAGCCGACAAGAGGCCCGTCGCGCGGCAACAAGGCAGAGTCAGCGGACGAGTCGCAGCGCGTACTGTAGTGATTTCGCGTCAAGTTAAATAGAATGTACCATTGTACGTCCTACATCGCACATCACGCGCTGCGACTCGTCCGCTGACTCTGCCTTCTTGCCGCGCGACGGGCCTCCTTGTCGGGTACCCGTTACCGGGGGATGGACTAGTAACATATCATACTGTCTAATCCTTCCCAGCACTGAACAGCCTCGCGTGAGAAGAAGCAAGAATTGGGCATAGAAACGACACGCTCGTAATCAGTTTTGCCTGTATGCCATCTGCGGACCATCTTCAACCTTGCTCAAAATTAAAGAGCAACGACTACAGGGTGGCGAAAAATTACGTGCGCCATGAAAAACGTCCTAACTTATTTTTGTTTCGTAGAAATTCGAAATTATTGCTTTATAAAACCACAAACTCTAACATTCAATAATTACAAAAAAGTATCGATGTGGCCGCTGTCGGTTTTTATACAGATCGAATTAGTTTCGACATTGAGCCGATGGTGCCGCGAAGCTGGGAGTAACCTGGTTTGAGTAAAGAAAAATTCTCCAAGTTGCAGCTAAAAACTCTTAAATCACCATCAAACTTTTTTGCTGCTAAATTCTTGGAAACATTTGTTATTGGAAAATATCTGCAAGAATTCGCAGTCGCTGAAAGTTTGATGATTTAGGAGCTGTATCAGTGCTCTGGGCAACCCATTGATTTTATCCATAAAATCATAAGGATCAATGCGAACGTATATCATGAGGAGGTTTTCAGAAAGATCTGATTGCTTCTTGCAACAGAGGCAAACAAGCGTTGCCTTTCTTGGCAGATCGGGTTCGTGGCGCACGTAATTTTTCGCCACCCTGTAATTTTCCATTTTGTTAGCATGCAAGTAAATAAACAACAGTCGCTTCGCTAGCATGGACATCAACTTCCAGTATCAGTCCATTTGAACTACTCCATGTTTTTTCCAAGTTCACCTCCTGTGGAATATCGCTGCGGTGCTGAGCTGGTTGATGTGAAGAAGCTATTGAAAATAGTGAAAGGGGAGGGGGATAGACAAGAAAAGAAATTCCACTGACAATCGTATGTTACAGAAGTCCTACAAAAGCAGTTGGGGGAGGGGATGCTCAATTTTGGACTGCTGTTGAGCCGCGCAATTTACCAGCGCCGGAGCGGTTCAGGAGAGGGGGAACTCTAGGAGTGTGTGAATCAGTCATCCACCCCGAGTCCTTCACATCGCCAAAACTAAACACAAATTTCACGCCGTTCAATTACGATTGGGTTAGATCAAGCACATGTGCTCACATTATCGTATTCTAGATGCTACTTTCGACGGGGCGATTGATGCGCAGCTACGAGCGATCGCGAATGGCACAATCGCGATTCTGACGGACTTGACTCTGCCTATTCCGACCCCCACCCACCTTTTCACATTAGTTTTTTGACACCACACCTTCTTCTTCTATGCTTCTGTTGGCCAAGCGAAAGGGATAAAGCTGGAACTTTCAAAATTGGAAAACATGAGGAATTGTTGATCAGTTAAGTCTGTGAGTTTATTTCAGAGTGTACCCTTTTTCGGATTCGAACAAAAGTGCAAACCTCGACATCGATGTGCCGCAGTGATCGAGGAGGCCGCTTAAGAATCTCACATTCACTAAACAGTACTCGATTTTTCATTCTAACAATAAACAATGGCCAGTGCAAGACATTACACTCTGATCTCATTTGGATAAAACAATCCACAAATAAGATTGACAGAATGAAGCCGTTGCGACTACCAGTAGAGGCTCCATGTTCACTGATAAATCACCAATAATTCTCCAAACTTCAAAAATTCCCAGCTTTCACCTATCCAATGATGAACAAACTTGATGTCTCAGACTCAAAGGGGACAGTATGTGCCCACGAAGAGTCAGTTGCCGGTACTCTGAAAGGCGCTAAGGATACGGCCTTCGAGACAGCAGACACTAAAATCGCTCGATCGCTAGCGAATTACTTAGTTTGTCCGCAATATCTGACACCTGTCCAAGGTGTTTGCAAAGATAAAATCGTATATGAGGCCTAGATTTCTCAAGTGAAAAAGAAACCTCCCACACCTAATTACGTGACGCAAAAGCGTCACTGTGATGGAAGACACCGATGGAAGGCGCTCATTCGCTGCTGCTTTTTGTAAAAGATTGTCAGCGAAGGCACTTGATGCCACTGATGAAGTGGAGTCTCGCACGTGAAAATTGCTCCGCAAAGTCTCGCCGCGAGACCATTTCCCCATTTCCAGCTCATGTTCAGTTTTCTTCAGACACTACTACCAGCATTCACTAAAGCCATTCACCATTCTGCATCCTATTAAAAGGTTGTCTGGAGAGTTATATGCCTTCGTCTTGAATGAATAACGCGCCCCAATCCCAAATACACAATCAAGACAAAGCATTTCAGTTCCACCCTCTTCAAGTACTAGGACTCCTCGTGACGAACACTTTTATCTCTTAATATTGTGCTGTCCCGGAGCCTCATCAGCACCTAAATATTGTATAACACAGAGAGGCACCAAAATTTTATTTCAAAAGAATTCCAAAAGTTCACAAAATTCAAAAATTCCAAAAAACTCAAAATTCCAAAAAACAAGAAAAGTTTGAAAAGAATTCCTTTGAAATCTTCCGCGATATTTCGGTGTTAACACCTTCTTCAGGCATGTGTTTGCCACAGCCAAGTATAAAGCTGCCCTTACGGGAGCCGCGCCGTTGGAGTGAAAAGAAAAAATTTTTTTCACTTTAACGGCGCGGCTCCCGTAGAGGGC